CTCAAAGGAGAAAATAAATGCGCCATGGTGTCTCTGAATAAGGCTCCACGACAATGACATTGCACTGGGAGCAAACAGTCGGAAATTGGAATATGTTCTCACTCAGAAGGAAACAACAGAAATTAGCTTGAGAACATAAGGTAACAATTCAACATTATTTGCTTCTAGTCAACGGAGCGCCAAAGCCATGGAATCCTGAACTTCTGCGAATGGAAGCTATTCTACTCAGGAGTCGATATTGCGACGGGTTTTAAGGCCGATGTCTGTGTTCTGGCAGAACCCATCCTGGCTGATAGAATCAAAGAATGGAAGCCTATCGATGGAATGGTAGCAATCCTTCGGCTGAAGTTACAACAGTCTATAACGTTACCTTGCAGCAAGTCTATGCGCCTAATTTCGATGGAGCATATGACTCTTTCCGTGAAGAAATGGAGTGTGCTCTGTCCGAAGTGCGAATACAGAGTCGCTCATACTCATGGGCGATTTTATTGCGTATGTCAGAGTAGGCGCTGAAAAGTTGAACGGCGTGATTGGAAAAAACGACCCTAGCGACCTCAAATATAACGGCATGAAGTTGTTCCGGTTTTGTGCAAACAACGGATTGTCCATTATGAGCACCTTCTTCGAGCATCGTAAAGTGATCAGTACACCTTGTACCGGGAAGCTTGTGCACAGAAGTCAGTGATCGATTTGATAATCGTATCGTCTGACCTAAGACGCTCAGTAATGGATGTTCGTGTCAAAAGAGGGGCAGAGCTATCAACCGATCACCACCTTGTTGTTGGCACGCTGCGCTATAAGAAACGGAGTACCATACGAAGATCTGGTGGCAGAAGCAACCTGAGAATCAAATAGGGAACATTGTCTTCGGTGGACACGAGAGAGAAATTTGCAAACAACATCGCACGACGGTTTGAATAGATCCCAGTGATGACAACTGATGTTGAAACCGAGTGGCAGCTATTTAAGAGCGGCATAGTCGAGGCTGCCGCCGAATGCTTCTGATTTGAACGGGTTGCCCTGCCGCGTGGAGGTCAGAAAAGATTATCCTGGTGGACACGAGATATAAAACTGTTAGCTAAAGAGAAGAAGGCAGCGTTCAAGAAATGGCATGGAAACAAATAGCCTTATACTCGCGTGCGATAAGTCGAAGTACGCAAGGCGGCAGCGTAAGCAGTGGCGAAAGCCAATGCTAATTCGTAGGAGAAGTTCGATGATACGTTGGGAACGAAGTTCCACGCGGCAAGCGCAATGTTCTGACAGACCATTCGCCGGCTCCGAGATGAAAAGAGGTGCAGATATTGACACCCTCTTACCCAGTATGAAGACATTCTTCGGCGACAGAGGGAGTATTTTGAGGAATCGCTTTACCTCGAGCAACTGCAGCAAGACTCTCCTGTAGAGCAGAATGGAACGGATATTACTCTTCCTGTAGATGAAATTATACAAGCTGTGAGATGCTTGAAAAATGGAAAGGCTGCTGGAATTAATGAAAGCGTTACATGAGCAAGAAATATGCCGGCTTATATGTATCTATCAAACTGCATTGACTACGAGGAAGGCACTAGCGTAGTGGAGAACTGCAGTTGTAGTACCCGTATTCAAATAGAGAGACCACAGGTAGTGTTCCAATTATATGGACATTACTTTATTGAGCCTCTCGGCAAAAGTTTACGCACTGATGCTTGAAAGGAGGTACCGCGGAATAAATGACTGCAAGATACAAGAAGAGCAGTATAGCTTTCTGCCCAGTCGAACAATCTTGGACCATATAGTTGCCCTGAGCCAGATTTTTGAGAAATCGATGGAGTTCGTCCATCCGGTGTACATGTGCTTAGTT